TCATATTTCCTCTCTACATTCACTGAAAATATTTACTTAGAGGCCATAACATATGTCTAAATGTCAAAGCAAATCCATTACATGGATATAACTTTAAGTCAACGCAAGTTGAAATTCAAGGCACAGGGATCGATTGCTGAGAGGAAACATTTTACAGTAAAAGTCCAAATACTTAGGTCTCTGGATAAGGCACAATACGGTTATAAATAAGACACAAATAGTGAGAACTGTTTTCACTCTAAGAAAAACTTTCCAAAAGGAATAGATTTTTCTTTTACCATTCCTCACAAAGCAGCATGACACTATTTTGTTTGTAGCTCTTGACTGATTATTTTTTAAGTAAAACTTTTAACAAAAACGTATGTACCAAATGTATAATCCAAAATATCTAGACTCTCTAGCAACATGTCATCTTCAACATGCTTTGAAGGTTAAACATACTTGAATGGCCTTAGTTAGTTAGTTGGTTAGCTAGTTTTCATTCTAATTTTTCCACAAGGTATAGATCTCTCCAATTGCATATGCTTTGCTGTTTGTATGGTTGATGCCAGAAAACTGTTTCCATATTTGACCATGCCAGTCAGGAATGCTGGGACATTTATAAAAAACAAGTGCCCAACACAGAAAGATACTTCGGCCTGCCCTTCATGGCATGCAGTGGGCAAGAACAATTTTCTTCCTCCTATGGAACAATGGCTGCCACAAGGCTACTGGTTCAAGAGAAGAAGTTTGAATACCCAAACTTAGTTTTTAAAAACATTTGGGCCTCTATTTGAGAAAACTAAGCAGACAGCATGAACCCAAGAGAATACAAGCAATGTTTAAATCTCATGTCACTTTTCTTAGATGAAAAAGGAATTCTCTAAACAGAACAGCAGTTGCTGGCTTAAGGAGCTATAAGCCCTGCCAAATTGTAATATAGCCCTACATACTTCCCTGTAATTATTATTTTTCTCATATAACCGCATAGCTCTCATAGGAGATAACTTGAACAATTTAATCTTTGTTCTCCCCAGAACCTGTCATACATCAACAGAACTCAGCAGTATCTGTTAATTCTTTTTTTCATACGCATAGGAAAGACTATATTACCCAGTATTCTCCCTCCACACTCCTCAGAGTTAGGTGGGGCCATGTGATTTCTGAGATAAAAGCAGACTGGCCTATGGACACATCACTCGAGAGGGAGCTGCCCTGGAGAACAGCACTGCCTGGCCTGCAGCAGACTTTGCATGCACAAGCAATAAACTTTTGCTGTATTAATACACTGAGATTTCAGAGTTGATCTGTTATCATAGCGCAGTTCAGACAAGTCTGACTAACACAGTTTCTAGCATGTAATGTTCAATATGTAGTTCTTTAAAGAGTAAGCGGGGAGAACTGAGAACACCATTTACTAGTAACACCTAAGTTTAGATATGGATTGTAAAGGGAAAAGCATGGTCATCTTGATTTATCTAAAAAAAATAAAAATCAATCTCTGCATATTAAGCATGTACAGACTATATATTGACTTATTAAACAGTTCACGGACTAACCAGCATGATTCTATATTGCTGACTAAGGAACAGACAGGTCATATTCCTGTAAGTAGATTGTTAACACCATAAAGTAGCCCATATGAGGTCTGCCAATTAAATTCGCAAACTCATCCTAGAAAAAGTGCTTCATACTTCATTGCTGAATATCACTACGGTCACCTTCAAAATACTCCCCTTAGGAAGCTATGCACCGATGCAGGTGCCTAGTCCACCTTTCAAAGCTATTTTGGAACTCTTTTTCTGGAATGGCCATCAGAGCTGCCGTTGTATCACCCTTGATGTCATCAAAATATCTTCCTTTCAATATTTCCTTTATCTTTGGGTAAAGAAAAAGTCATTGGGGGCCAGATCAGATGAGAAGGGTGGGTGTTCCAATAGTTATTTGTTTACTGGCTAAAAACTCTCTCACAGACAGTGCCGTGTGAGCTGGTGCATTGTCGTGATGCAAGAGCCATGAATTATTGGCAAAAAGGTCGGGTTGTCTAACTTTCTCTCTCTCCTCCCAGCTTCATGTACTTTCGGAAGCACTGTGTCCCATATTCTAAAAGGAGGTGTGTATATGAAAGGTGCTCTTTCTCCTTGCCAATTCCAGGGAATTAGGGCTCATGAGAAAAATCAAGTTTGAGAGAAGGAGAAGCTAAAACACCACCCTGATAAGGCCTTCTTACCCCGCAACAATCCCACACAAGCTCTAGGTGCTAGCCTGAAATCCAAGAATAATATTTAATCTCAGCAGTGTTGCCTGAATTACACTAATCTGTGTCTCTTTGCTCCGGCTCTCCTTTGTATGCCTACAATACCACACAGACCTTGCCTGAAGCTGTCCTCTGGCCTCCATGTGCAAATGGCCATACTCCAAATTCGTCCCCCTTCACAAAGACCTCTTTCTAACCCCCTTCCCAGCAGAACAAATTTCTATTTCTTTCAGGTCTCTAACATGTTATTCCAGACCGAGTATATTTTTAAACAAACTACCTTGTTTTGGGTTATTATGTCTGTATCCTCTAAAAGTACTGAGAATACTTCAAAACCACTTTTATGATCCTTTTGTCCCTTCCAGTACCAATCTACTACTTTGTAACATAGCACTTACTATATGTGTGTTGAATTGAATTTAAAAATGTAGAAAAAAAAAAAAAGGAAAACACCTCACATGGTTTCTTCCTGTTCACATTAGGGAAGTGAGTGATCCAAGTCAGCGTAAATATGTCATGTGACAAGGAAAAGGAGAGTTAAGACAATCAATGACATATTTAAATGTCTCAAGGCACGATTCAAAGACCTCTATCTGCTAAGACCTAGAGAAGGAATGAGAAACAACTCAACTGCCTTTGCAGTGTGTGGGTTCTCTAGGTCTCATTTCTGGACTCTATTTTATATAAACCCCTATCCTGCTATTCTCTTTCAGCCAGAAACCCCAGCCAATAGCCAATAGAAGCAAAATGCTTTTTCAACACTTAATAATGAAACCAGAAAATGCAGAAATCTCCTTTATTATGTAACAAGGGTGGGGATTATTAACTATTGACTGGCAAAAAATAACTCTCCAGAAAATCCACCAAAAGAATGGTTTATTCGAGAAAAGAAAAAAGAAACGAGGTCACCCCAGGAGTGTGCAAAAGCACACTTTCGACCAGGACTGCAACTGGCTGCCCATGTGAAGAAGGAAAAGCCCCCATTCCAAGATGGCTCTTCTATTTATTAATATTAGCATCCCTCCCCCAGAAGTTACCACAAAGGACTAGAGAGTTAACAGGGGGCCCAGCTCCACCCATAGTCCTCCCAGCTCTGTGGTTAAGCATCTTAAGATGCCAGTTCACTTTTATCATAACCAAGCTGGATGGTATTCTCTTGATATACGAATCCCAGCAAATACATGAACAAACTGATTCCTTTGCTGATAAGATACTTAGTTGATTTTTGTTACACCCGTTAATCTGATGACCTAAGACCTGATACGCAAAGCTTTGGAGACCAGCAGCATCAACATCACCTGGGAGAGTTTTAGAAATGCAGATTCTCAGACCTCACCCCACACCCACTGAATCAGAATTTGCATTTTAACAAGATCCCCAAGTGACTCAAATGTTGCAACATTTTAGGAAGCATGGGCATTGAATATTCTAGCAGCAATGCTTCATTTGCATCCTGGTCCTCTCTTTGCTCTAAGCTGTGATTTTATTGGAAAATTAAAGTACTGTATTTGCGTCTCATACCCTCTCTTCTCTACCCCTCACTGTTTTCTGTACACCTATCCATTTGCTTTAATATGCAGTATGAAAAGATTCCTGTTATGCTTTAGATTGTACACATTTCTTTCATATACATGATCTCATTTGATCCTTCTGATATCCTTGTAAACACCATCACACATAAGTTGTCAAATGTCATCTAGGTAATAAATATCTGAGAATCTGCATTCCCAATTGTAGCAAGATGCTTCCTCTTGCAAACAATGAAAGGGCCTCTCCTTGTACACAGTGAACTCCCCTTACTCAGAATTCTCTGCATTGTAAATTGAACTTAAAAAAAAATCAATACTTAACAGGGAAATAATAGTAATGTACCTGTAAGACAGAGTTTGAAAAGACTAGAAAGATTTGCATGTGATGAGTTTAAGGAAAACAGATCAAAAAACAAAACAAACAAACAAAGGATATTAAGTTCCTTGCTCTTCCTACCCCCCCCCCCAAATCTCCATGGAGCCAATGACTTGAGACTTGATGTCTAACTTACTTTTGAATCTTTTGTCCTTGCCACTCCCATAACCCGGCTTATCCCTAAACACAGACACTAAACATGCACACTCTTGATGAAAGCTTTTACAGCTGCCACTACAAAATGGATTTGCTGTCAGTTTGTCTAAAATGTGTCCGCTGAAGAAATGAGAGGAAAAAAGATCCAGTCATTGCTTATAAGAAATGGAGTTTTCAACTAACGAAAATCAACTTGGGCATTTCTATCCTGTATGGTAGGACTTCTCTAGCATCCTTACCATTCGTGAGACCTGAGCTTCTCAGCAATGAGTAGAACATAAAGCAATAACAATAAAGAAACATCTACTATAGTTTCATTAAGAAGTTCTTTGGAATGTTAGGATATAATACAGTAAATTATCAGCCATATTGAAAACCAAGTGAATTTTCAAAGGCTTTCATCTAAATCTATGCCATATACAGAGGCAAATATCTGTACACAATGCAAAATTATTAACTAGAACTTTAGCCTTCATCAAAATGCTTGAACACTGTTATTTAGGCATCTAAGTGTATCATTTTTACAAACGCCTCTTGATGATTGCAGAACGGGAATCACACTGGAAGCTAGGAGTCTACAATTAAACATCATGTAGGTAGACTATTGCAGAAGAAAGGAATTTTAGAGAGTGTGTTTAGACCTATCCCTCATTTTCATCTTAGAGATTTAGAAAGAGGAGCCCAAAGAGGCCACAAAACTTACCACAAGGTCCACTGTTGTTTGTCACTGACTAGCTGGGTGCGCAAGTCCCCTCTCTCTCAGCCTCAGTTTCATGATCTGCAAAACGAGGTGATTGGACTAGATGATGCAAGATTCCATATGGCCAGAAAATGCCATTATCCTGCAAGACTAGAAGCCACATCCTAGAACATTCCCCCTCCGAAAGCAACATACAAGAAGATGAAATGACATTTAAATGGCACTTGGCACTGCTGGTGTTCCAAGGACTGAATCTCAACTTGAGACTTCAGAATTGCATAGGTGGCTGGTGCCCACCACAGACAAGCAAACCAGGAGAGAACGGCTGTTGAGAAACTCTGCCTGAGAAGTGCTGCAACTAAAAATCAGTCCAAAGTGATGGCCAATCCCCTCCTCCCTCTTCTGAGCATCTGGTGACTTCCTCTGTCGGGCCTCTGCTTCTCCTCAAGGTTCACCGGAGTCCTGGCAGTCCAGCCCTTGACCTAACCCCAGACCAAGATGCATTTCCTCCTGGAAGACTCCCCGCCTGGACAAGTCATTCAAAATCAACCTTAAAAGCGACTCCAGGCTCCAGGAAGCTGAGGACTTTAGCATCTTTTTAAATGAGCTGTCTGGCCTTGTCTGTAGTGAAACCTTTATATTTTGTTACAATTTTATTATGTGAATAATCAAAGAGTTGGTACGTTTACTACAAAAGGAGGACTCAGCCTTTGAATGGAGGACCTGCCCCGATCCTTGCTCATGCTTTTACTGCGGGTACTTATCTTCCATTCCGCATGCTTATCTAGGGTAGGATCTTTGAAATGTTTCTATTTATTTATTTTAAGTGTTTCCATATTTCTCTTTTTCTTCTTTTCATTATTACTATTTTCTAATGAGTAATCAGAAAGACGATGGTTTAGGTTTTTCAAAGAATGTTTAGATATATGACTCAACGAGGCACAAAGTTTCTATCAATTAAGTCAAACATTAAACCAGAATTTAATTCCCTGGGCTCATTTTAATGATATACTCAAGGGAACCTGAAGCATTTTGTCCTATTACTGTAACATATTTAAGGAAAGCTAGTATTTATACCTAAATAATTGTATACAAATTATGATCAACCAGGAGAATAATTCTACAATGTCTAATTAAGTAAATCAAAATTATTCATAGTATCACAATTATCATCTATTATTTACGGGGTGCCTATTATGTGATAAAAGTGAACTGGCATCTAAAGATAATTAACCACAGAGCTGAGAGGACTATGGGTGGAGCTAGGGCCATTGTTAACTCTCTAGTCCTGACTTCCTGTTAAACTTAGTGGTACCTTCCGGAGGAGGGATGCTAATATAGAGAGAAGACATCTTGGAATCAGGGTTCTTGGCATGTGGGCAGCTGGTTGGAATAGCGGCCAGCAAGTGTGCGTTCACACACACCTTGGTGGCTTTGTTTCCTTGTCTTTTCCTGCATAAACTGCTCTTTTGATGGACTACCTGGAGAATTATTCGTCCAGTCGACATATGTGTTGGACACTCTCCTAATCACTTTACACATTTACATCATTTTAACCCCACAGAGACACTGCAAAGTTAACCCTAAAAGAAGACAAGAAGATAGAAGGGAGCCAAATCACGGCCTCAAAGAAGGGTTAGCTTGTTGAAAAACAAAAAATAAAAGAATGATCATAAATTTTTAATTGGCTATATTAGGCTACACCAAGACTGGAAGGTACAAGGAAACCAAGTTTGTCTCAGCTCCTACCTACAGGAATCAAGCAGCAGATACTCTCTGACTATAGGGAGTATGTTTATTGCTAAAGATACTCAGCAACAGGGCTCTGTGACCAGCTCTCAGGGTCGCTACAGAACGGGATTCTGGCAACAGATGAAAGTACTGGAGAAGCTCTAAGGGTCTTCCAGCCCTGGAATTCTGGACAAAAGTAATACTGTGAACGTTGAGAGTATATCTATATAAATAGATGAATCAATAAATACACAGATGAACAATCATAGAGAAAATTATGCTTGTATGTGTCTCTTCTAGCACTCATTATATTCTACGTTGTGTGGAATGTATATGTGTCCTTTTACTTTCATTTCTATTAGATTATAAGTTCATTGGCTCTTGACTCACCACATACTATTAACCTTGGGAAAGGTGTTCATTTTCTTCTCCTATAATAATGGAATCTGTTACACAGCATTGTCATGAGGAATACATTAGATTGCATATTCAAAAGACTTAATCCAGTGCATTGCATTAGTAAGCAACAAATAAAATTAGAGTTCTTAATTATTATCATTATTATTACTACTATTATTTAATACTACTATTATTGTGATTTTTACCAAGCTACAGATGAATGCCTCAGACTCAGTTTCTTTGATTTTAGAGTCTAATAAACCCCACTCAATAGCCATCTTTACATTCCAATAGGTCAATCCAAACAGCAACATTTCATCTTCCAATCTGCCAACCTAAATTGGCTGGGGAGAGGGAAACAAACCCAAACCACCTGCCATGAATTGCTTCATTGAAAAAGCAATTCAATAACATATTTTTAGTGTGTGGCTCTCTTAACTGAAAAGAGAATATGGAGTGAGGAAAAGATAAAAAATGATATATTTTATTCCAGTATGTTAAAAAATTACTATTCTTTGAAGCTCATTGTATGCATGACAAGTGAACATATATTTCTTTCTGGAGTGAAAGAACTGTTATATGCCTTTGCAATTAATTAATGCTGTCTCCAGTATTCCTATGAAATCAATGTCTAATTCATTTCAGTGGGGCTTCTGGAATAGCAGACCTCTTGTCCATTTCTGGTATAGTAATGTAACAACAGCAAGATGGGTTTTAAATGGTACATGTGCAAAAGGGTGTGAAGGCAGACAAAATTCCACACTGTAATTTATACCAATACTTTTCAAACAATGCAAGCAGTGGAGCTCTTTTTAAAAAGAATATTAGGTCCAACATAAGCGAAGTCACTTTAAATGCATATCATTGGCTAAGAAACTATCTCATTGTTCATGGAGGTCCTGAAACACTTACAGCCTCAAAAGTACTTAGAAAAGCATCCTTCAACTCAGAATACCTTATCTATTGATGAAAAAACTGAGTTCCCAAAATGAGAAGGGATTTGACCATGTCTCACAGCTACTAAATGTCAAGAGTTAGAATTCATGGCTCATTTATTCATTCAGCTCATATTTATTGAGAGCCCTCCATGTGCTCATTCTGTGCTTGGCTTCCTATACATATCATGCTTATTTTTAAAATTCATGCCATTTCTATTTGACAACTATTCATTTCATATCTATTAAGTGCAGGGACTGTGTTTGGGTCAGTGTGCTGAGGGTAATATAAGTCAGAGTTACTATCTGCCACAAACATTTTAAAAGCTAGTTGGAAATGTACCAAGTACATAAATAATTATAGTAATTGGAAGAATGTAGTTAATACCATTAGAAAGCAAGAGAATTTGACAAGAGTTAACTTAATAATTTTCAAACCATATTAAAAAAAATACCTGTATCTGTTAACCAATCGCCAAACCTGTATTCATCTTGTACCATGTGCCAAGAACTGGGATGTAATTATAAAAAAATCCAAGAACAGCTAGAAGCTTATAATCTATTTAAGTAGCTGGCTGAGATGTACAAACAAGAAATGTGTTTTAACAAGTCAGGATAATATTTAAGTGCTAAGCGCAATGCACCAATTTATATGTTAGAGAGATTCTTAAAAAAGAAAGCTCAGTGTGGACTAAGTACCATTACTAAATCAAGAAAGAGCATATGCCCTTAAAGTATTTATTATTACCATTTATATTATACTAGAGACATTGGTGTAGCCATGGCACCTAACACATACTTATTGGACTAACTATGTGAACATACTTTTTCTCCTTAATAGCTTATGAACAACTAATATGACATTGTATTATATCAATAGGCCCTTAAAGAATCACTGAGCAATTGAGCAATTTATTCTTCAGCTACTTTGTAACTTTTGTTGTGACATTCCCGATTTCTCACCTGTTAACCCATAAAGCTTCTCAGAACTGACCATATATTCATCAATCTTGGCATATCCTGAAACCACTGAAGAAGGTACGCCACAATTTCCTTACATAATTCTCACCTAAGTCGAAGTTCCCTCTTCCTTTTCTGAGCAATGTAATAAACAGTACATTTCACTTGAAAAACCTTTTAGTTTGTTTTTTTTACCTATCATTTACATATCGTACTATATTATTTATTAATATTATATATATATATATATATTTTTTTTTTTCTCATCGATATTAGTAGCCCAAGACAATACGAAGCATAGCTTATACCTAAATATAGCCTTTTACCAAAGAGGTATGTAATAAATAGCCACTATTGTAATTTGACTACAATGGAAAGGCCCACGTGTGCAACAGATATACTAGTCAATGAGTAGGTACTGACAGTCTATGACTTATTATTTCTGATGCTTTATGTATTTAATCCTCAACTCCTACGAGAAAAAAGTAAGAAACAAAAGGAATGAAAAGTATAGCACCTAACAGTAGCAGGATGCTCGCACTGTCTTCCCATTTTGGATTGGGTGTCGGTCTAGTAGGTCTTTTATTTCTCCATATGTAACCCAATGGAATTAGCTGAGACGCTGCACACTATGCATTCTTTCAGACCTTTAAATATTGCAAGGGTCAACTAGGAACACAGAAAATAAGAAAATTACATTGATTTTGTTTGGACTGTGTAATGGCAACATGGGAGTCGAGTTAGGCAGAGTACACTTTAGTGTAGTTGCTCCAACTTTTTAGTTGTTGTTTCCTGTCTCCCAGTGAGAGAGAAACCCATTATGCAGTGCCACCCCTCTTTCTCCCTTTCACCCCCACCCGCCCTCAGATCTCTCTCTATCTTCTTTCCCACTCCCCAAACTGAAAGCAGCATTTCACCAATCAAACCTTACAACATGTGATGTACTCTAAGACTTCTTTTCTTTCCTATCCTATCCTATCCTATCCTATCCTATCCTATCCTATCCTATCCTATCCTATCCTATTTTACTCCATTCCATTTCAATTTATAGTA